TGAACCTGTGAGATCGTGACCTGAGCCAAAATCAAGAGTCATAAACTTAACCAACGGAGCCATCCAGCCGCCCCTGTTTGATGTTGTATCACCTTCCTTAATCTTTTTTTTTTTTTTTTTCAACGTTTATTTATTTTTGGGACAGAGAGAGACAGAGCATGAACGGGGGAGGGGCAGAGAGAGAGGGAGACACAGAATCGGAAACAGGCTCCAGGTTCTGAGCCATCAGCCCAGAGCCTGACGCGGGGCTCGAACTCACGGACCGCGAGATCGTGACCTGGCTGAAGTCGGACGCTTAACCGACTGCGCCACCCAGGCGCCCCCTTAATCTTAATTTGTAGACTTTTTTTTTTAAAGTAAAAATGGTAGAAGTTGGCAGGATGCCAACAATCCCATTTCCTTTTCCTGGATGCATAGAAGACAACATTTCCCAGCCTCCCTTGCAGTTTAGATTGGGGTCACAAGACTAGGTTTTGGCCAACGGAAGTAGTTGGATGCAGAAGTACGCTGCCACCAAGTTGTGTGCAAGAAAATTTCAAGGTCTTAGTCCGGTGGAATGTGATTTGCTACATCATCTTAAACTGTATTTCTCTACAGCAGTGCTGCTGACATTTTGCACGGTTTATCCTCTGTTGCGGGGCTGTCCTCTGCATTCTGAGATGTTTAGCAGCTCCCTGGCCTCTACCCACAGGATGCCACTAGTACCCGACCTCTAGTCATGACAATCAAAAATGTCTCCAGATGTTGCTAAGTGCCCCCTGGGGGGCAAAACTGCCCATAGTCGAGAACAACTGACCTAAGTCCTCTTGACTAATACACCCACTGTGTGCGAGGCACTGTGCTCAGAGAGATGGGGAACAGGTCTGGACCACAGTTTCTGACTTAAGAGCATGGAACTGTATATAGTACATTACACACGCATGCATGTTTTAAGATGACTGCTTCATTGGAGCACTGTAATTGTTAAATTGGAAACAAAGCACAATACAGAATTGATTAAATTCAAGTACACTAAAAAACAGAGTATGGTTAGGGCGCCTGGGTGGCTCAGTTGGTTAAGTGTCTGCCTTTGGATCAGGTCATGATATTGTGATTTGTGAGTCTGAGTCCCACATCAGGGTCTGTGCTGAGAGCTCAGAGCCTGGAGCCTGCTTCAGACTCTGTGTCTCGTCTGCCCCTCCCATGCTTGTACTCTCTCTCTCAAAAACAAGTAAACATTAAAAATTTTATTTAAAAAAACAGTATGGTGTATCCATCAAGTAATGCAGATCTATTATTTATTGACAAGGAGGTACAATTCCTTTTTTAAGTGGCAACAGAAGAGTACTACGGTATACTTTTTTTTTTTTAATTTTTTTTTTCAACGTTTTTTATTTATTTTTGGGACAGAGAGAGACAGAACATGAACGGGGGAGGGGCAGAGAGAGAGGGAGACACAGAATCGGAAACAGGCTCCAGGTTCTGAGCCATCAGCCCAGAGCCCGACGCGGGGCTCAAACTCACGGACCGCGAGATCGTGACCTGGCTGAAGTCGGACGCTTAACCGACTGCGCCACCCAGGCGCCCCTAAGGATGGGACAGTGCAAGGATTTCAAGTGTTGCTTCTGGGGATGGGATTTGGGATAATTTGGTTTTTTACTTGTTTTCTAATTTTTTAAGTTTATTTTGAGAGAGAGAGAGAGAGAGAGAGAGAGAGAGAGAGCGCACAAGTGGAGGAGGGGCAGAGAGAGAGAGAGAGAGAGAGAGAGAGAGAGAGAGACAGAATCCCAGGCTCCACACTGTCAGCACAGAACCCAACTTGGGGCTTGAACTCACCAACTCTGAGATCACGACCTGAGCCGATATCAAGGGTTGGACACTTAACTGAGCCACCCAGGTGTCTCTGTGTTTTCTAGTCTTTGTATACTAAACAGCTGGATGACTGCTGGTGGCAACTGTGCTGGGTTGACTGCACCTTTCCCATAAAGAAGTAACATCTGGGTCCCAGGTTTCCCTGTGACAAAATGGCTTCTTTGTGCCTCTGACTTAAGCGTTTCCTTTCATGAAAAAGGTTAAATGCTGTAGTCTATAAGCCCAAATGAAAGGTTTGCTAAACATTGCTAACGTCTAACTTTAAGGGGTGTGTGACCAGTTTAACAAAATATGACAACGGGACTGAGATTGTTGTACCCAACATAGAGATGCATTTTTAAAAAGCCACTTGGAGATACTTTTCTAAATAATGCCTCAAATTCCCACCAGTAGGTACAGTTTAAGTATTCCCAACTCTACTTTTGCTTTTTCAATTTCACATTTCATTTTTTTGTAGCCTCAGGTTATTTAACTTGCAAAACAGAAAATGAGAAATGTTACCCTATTTCCAAATTAGCATCAGTCTGTTTATCCTCCTAAGACTTCATCAGCAAAATGACCGTGCTTTGAAGTTAGTTGGGAGAAGCGTAAAAACATAATTTTTTTAAAGTTTATTTTGAGAGAGAGCGAGCACGCACGCGAGAGCACACTAGCAGAGGAGGGACGGAGAGGGAGAGGGAGAATGTCAAGCAGGCTCCGTGCTGTCAGCACAGAGCCCAATTCTGGGGTTTGAACTCATGAACTGTGGGATGAAATCATGAGCTGGACACTCAACCGACTGAGCCACCCAGGCGCCTAAGTGTAAAAATAATGCTCAGTGTCATATTCGAGGCTAGTACCTGCATCCAAGTTAAAGAAATGTGTCTCTTTAATGAATAGATACTGTTAGTAACCTGAACAGTCTTCTCCTAAGTGCCACAGAAATTAATAAGAAGTATCTATTTGTGAAGAAAATACAGTGGTCTCAACATGGTATTTTTTTTCTATAACTTTGTACACGAACATCTTATAGACAGGAAACTTTTGTGAAAATCATTTTTATGTTTTAGTGCTAATTTTCTTTTATTTTTTTTTAAATGTTGTATTTAGTTTTGGGAGAGACAGAACAACAGCGGGGGAGGGGCGGAGGGAGAGGGAGACACAGAATTCGAAGCACCTCCAGGCTCCGAGCTGTCAGCATGGAGCCCGACACAGGGCTTGAACTCACCGACCGCGAGATCATGACCTGAGCCGCGGTTGGACGCTCAACCAACTGAGCCACCCAGGCGCCCCTTTAGTGCTGATTTTCAAATTGAATTGCCACTTTGTCTTTCGGCAGACGGATTCGCCTTGATGACTTCAGATGCCGGTCTTGTAGACTTCCTCGGAACATCCACCACCCACACCAAATCAGATTTCCTCCAAAGGTTTTTATTTTTCCTTACTGGCAATACACTCCAGAAATACACCCTTTTGTGTGCTGCTGACCCCGGGCCGTGCTGTGAGGCCCACACGCGTGCACGGACCAGGACTTGGCACAGTTCACCCGGGATGCCTTGCAGTTTTGACAGGCTCATGAGATTTTAAACAATGCAGATTTAGACTAAATAGCTTACTTCCATAATCTGCCTTATTGAATCACTGAGGCCCCAGCAGGGTCAATTTCTCCTGCTAAATGTTGCAAGTTAGTTTCTAACTTCGAAAATAAAATACCTGTTTGCTTTAAGTCTTTTAAAAAATTACGTGCTTGGTTGGGTGTTTTAACGAAAGAAGGAGAGAGCTAAGGAAAGAAGGAAAGTGTTCTCACACAACAAGAGGGCGTGCGAATTCTGGTTCTGTGTTTGGACTCATTTATTGCGCCCACAGTTAACAGCGAACCTACAACGCTATCACGACCGACAACGCACACACCGTCGGGCGTGCACCAGAGGAGGAAGTGGATTATTTCTGTAACAGCGCTGGACCGCAGCGCGGGAAGGCGGGAACGCGCCCGCGAGCCGCGCACCGCGGAGCCCAGCCCCCCAGCCCCCCACCCCCCGACGGAGCCCGACGGAACACAGGCCGGTCACGCCTGCCTCCTCGGCCGCGGGAACTCTCACAACTCCCCGGGCTTTCAGAACCCCAATTTCACCAACACGGACTCGAAAACGCCTAGTACTCAGCGGCTGACGCAGCAGTGGGTGGCGGCCTCGGCCTCCTCCGGGTCCCATTCCCGACCGCCTCCGGACGAGGCCCCAGCGCGGCTGCCGCCACAGCGCCCGCCCCGGGCCGCCGGTCACACTCATCGATCAGCCGCGCCCGCACGCTCCCGCCGGCTCCGCGGCGCCGCCAGGTGACGTCAGAGCGCACGTCACGGCGGCGCCGCCAGGATGACGTCAGAGAGCGCACGCGCACGTCACAGGCCATAGGCGTCAGAGGCTATAGGGGGAGGAGCCGGGCCTCTGTCGGCGGAAGTGGGGTTCGGGTGCGAAGGGGAGAAGCCCCCCGGCGGGGCCTGGGGCCCTCGGCTCGCCCGTGGCGCTCGGTCCCGAACGTGGTCCGGCGTCCGCCCCTCAGCTGGGACCCGGCACCCGAGACCCGGCCTCTCTCGGCCCCAGGCGCTGAGGCGTTTACCTCGGGTCCCGTCGGGCAGCAGCCGGCGACGTGAGCTCCCCTGTGGCCCGAGGCCGGCTCGCGCCGCCATCGCCTCCGCCGGACGGCAACAAGCCCTTACCTATCCCGCCGCGCGCGTGCGCCGCCAGGCGATCCGCGCGTGTTGACGGAGGGGCCTCTGCGTTCCCCTTCTTTCCCGGGACCGGCCCCTCGGGCTGCGCCAGGGGGGGGGCGCGTTTCTGCGCGTCCCAAATTTGCCCCAATGAGCAGCGGCCACAGGCTCCAGGTCTGCGGACCGAGCTGTGCGGTGCCTGTGCCCTCGGAGCCGCGGGCCGCCGCGGAGCCGCAGAGCAGCGGCGCTCGCTGTCAACCGGCAACCGCTCCCCCTCGGCAGCCGGCAGGATGAATGCGCATCCACCAGGCCGCGCGCCCGGCTCAACGGGCCGCCTCGGCGGGCGGGGCGCAGAAGGCGAGGGAAGCGGGCCCGAAACTCGCAGGACCGGGCCAGCGCCGCGCCGTTGAAACGAGCCCCGCGGGGTGTGGGCGAAACCGCCGCGAACCTTCCGGCAACCGCGACCATGTCGGACCCGGCGCCCAAAGTTCCCGATGAGATGTTCCGAGAGGAGGTCAAAAGTACTACGCGGTGGGCGACATCGACCCGCAGGTACCGCGCCACCCCCGCCCGCCGCTCTCGCGTCCCCAGCCCGTCCCCACTCCTGCTGAATCATATGGCTTTCTAAAACATCCTAGGCCCTGCCCGGGCCCTCGAGCCCGCCAGCCTGGCTGCACTGCCAGAGGCTGGAGCCTGCCCTGTCCAGGCTGGGCTGCAGGGGCCCGGCAGCTGGCTGGGATGGGGGACCTGGGGGGGGGGGGGGGAGAGGGGAGCTCTGCAGTACTCTCGGGAGGAGGGGATCTGGAGAGGGGAGACCTGAGGTTGGTCTGCGGGACTTTCTGGAGGAGACCCGGGGAGGGGAGGCAGGAGACCTGGGAGTGGGGGTTCTGCGGGACCTGCGCCCGGCGGGGAGCAGAGGAGAGAGAGGGGATGTGGGGGTGGTTTGCGAGACCCGCGGCCGGGAGGCTGGAGGGGAGGGGGGGTCTTAAGGACCCACGATTGGGGGAGATGGGGGGAGGGTCACAGATCTGTGTCGTGCTCTACTAGGACCTTTGGCCAGGAGGGCATCTGGAGGGTGAGCTCAGGGAGGAGAGAGACCTGGAGAGGAGGGTACTTACTAACCAGGGAGGAGGGGAGGAGGGTCCATGCCTCGGGCCTAGGACGGAATGTCACTGCCCCACTGCCCTACGCCTGGTGGGGGACCGGCCTCTGTCGCGTGTGGTAAGTTCCCCCCGAAGCCTGCCACCTCAGCCACCTGCCACTTTGCTCCTTTCTGGGGCCAATTTGGACTGGGAGCATCCTTCCTGCTGCCCACCGCGTGTGTGTGGGCTCCCAGAACAGTAGGTCCCAGAGTGTGGACAGGAGGAAGGTGATGGAGCTCAGCCAGGAACCCCACGTCCAGGCTGCTGGGGCTTAGTGAACGTGGCCCCTGGTGTGGCCGGCCACAGGAGTGCACACGTCTGGGCTGTGCAGCCCCAGTCACGCGAGAAGCGCTCACTTTGCCACCAGTGAAGTCCTGTTGTTTGATTTTCCTGATTGGGGGAATTAAACAGGAAATGTGGGAAATAGCCAGGGAGTACCGTCACTCTAGGCACTTAATTTTTCGTAGTTTGGGCTCACCCCTAAGGATATCGTGGGTTTTCTAAGTGATACATGTGGTGAAATGCCAGAGTGTTCCTCTTCCACGGTGGAAATGAGTCTTGGTTGGATATCCTTTTCAGGTGCATCCTCACAATATCCCCTTTATTGAAGTTGATGTGGTTAAAGTTGTCTCGGGCGTCCTTTGCTGTGACTGCCAAGCTGGGAGTGGATGCAGAGCCAGATGATCGGACCTTAAGGCCTCAGGAGTGGAGACTGGTGTTTAAGAAGTAGATTTGGTTGGCGTAAAAGGAATTATGGAAGGCTGATTGGTCTTGGCCTTCTGGAGGCTGGTCTGTGGGTATCTTAGTAACTAAATTCTGTCGCATGGCGCGGTCCCCAAGGTGGATCCTTTTTCTACTTTATGGGGTGAAGAGACTTAGCCTTGAGTTTGAAGGTAAACAGGTGTTGAACCCAGAGTGATCACAGTGAGTGCCTGTAACAGTGGGACCTTTTTCCCCGTGTTGATAATTTTCCTTTCTTTTAGTATCCATCAGTCTTCTCTCCCACCTCCTTGCTACTTTCTTTATTTTGTTTTAGGGTTTTGACTTTATCTTGCAAGGGACTTGAACCAAATATTACTGAAAACCTGGAACAAGCTGAGTTGGAACCATATCTGCTCAACCATGACTCAAATCTAAGTGCTTCAAAATGTCCTTGGCAAACCACTTTGATCTGGAACAGGATATTTTGTAAATGATTTACAGCCAAACCATTGATTCCCTGAATCTTACAAACACGGATTCGGAAAGTCCATGCGTATTGAGCACGTAGTACCTGTTAAGGCATCGGCCTAGATAGCGGATGTAAGAGAGGAGCGGAACCTGATTCGTATCCTTGAGGACCCCCTCTTGGTAGGGAGTGGGGGGCCCACCTGAAGACCTTGTGGTGTAGGGTGGTTGGTGTGGCAACAGCAGACTTCTGTGTTGGGCACCCCTGAACTTTTCCAAAGTCGGCATCTTTGCAGTTGGCTGTTGAGATACGCAGAAGTTAAGAAGAGGGTGAAGTGAGGCCTTTCACGTGGAACGCGTGTGCTGAGGAACGGAGGCCTTAATATACTTGGGATACGTTAGGACGATGAGGACACTTGGTGCAGGGTGATAGGAGGTCAAGCTAGTAAGGCAGCTTCAGTTTTGTGGAGCCTGGAAAGAAGCCAGTGGTCTGGGTATCCCCAAGGTCCACGAAGATTCAGTGTTTCCGTAGAGTTCTAGAAAAGGCAGGCGGCAGTGGGTGAAGAGTGAACAGGGAGTGAGGCAGTGAACACAGGTTGGACCGTTGTTCCAAGCGGTTTGTCACAAAGAGGAAGCAGAGAAGGGGCCCGGACGTGTGTGCGTGCGCGTGTTAGGACCAGTGGGGGGGGTGGGGGTGGAAATCTCAACACCCCTAAAACAGGTAGTGGGGTCAGGAGTGCACGTGAAGGCTGCATAAGAGGGTGTCGTTTTCTGTGGGACAAGCTGAGTGGACGTGGATGCTTGGAGGCCAGGGAGGGAAGTGGGGGTGATTGGTCGCTACCACCGTTGTTGGGTCACGTGTGAACCAAATACTTAGCATCGGCCCCAGTTGCTATCTCTGGATGGTGAGTGAAATGTTCTGAAAAAGTCCGACTTGTGGGTCAATCGAGCCGTGTGGGCTCCAGATCACCTTCATAGGTGGTGCCCACCCGGGCCACTCGGGCTCTGCGCCCCCTTCCCCTGTCCCTGGCGGGTGAGTAGGGTCCGGTTCACTCACCCCTTGGCAGCTGGGGATCTCGGTCACCCTCAGAACTTTGGCCACCACCGTGTCGCTGACGTGCTGATGACTCCCCACCCGCTGGGGGCCCAGGTCTCCCCAAGGACTACTGATGTCTTTTCCTAGACCTTCCATGTGGCACCCAGAGGATGTGCCCAGACTAAAGCACTTTTCTTCCTGCTTCCCCACCTCTGCGAGATCAGAACACATTCCTCAGTGACTGCTACTGCTGTGTCCCCAGCACTTTCTCTCTTGCACTGTCCCCCCTCCCAGGCACTACGTGTTGCTTGTTCTCCCGCACCTTCCTTCTTCCTATCCCTGGGACAGTCCCTCAGGTCAGTACCTGCCGCTTTCCCCCGGGCGCTTGCAGGTGCCTCACACTCCCTCCATTCTTGCCCTGACCGCACTCTTTGGGTGAAATCTGGTCATGCCGTTTCCCTGCCTAAAACCCTTCTGTCGCTCCAGAAGACGCTTGTGTTTTATTTCAGGATAAAGTACAAATGTTTTTGCGTAGGAGGTCAGGCCGGTTGTGGTCTGGCCCGGTGTCCCGTCCCGTGTGTCGAATGCTGTGCTCCGTCGGTGCCTGCATTTTTGTGTGGCCAACTCCTTAAGTTCATCGGGATTCTGCTCAAGTGGCTCTTCTTCCAGAAGCTTTCCTGGTTTGGTGAAACCGCCTGTCCCTAAGCGCTTTGAGTTTGGGCCTGGGTACTGTTGCCACTGTCTGTCAGACCAAGATACTACCTAGTACCTGGCTCGCAGCCTCTGTGCTTACCTGGTCAGTGGGTCAAGATTTGCTGCTTTTCACTGTCCTCAAATGTTGGATTGCGTATGACTCAGAGTCAGTTATTAATTTGATGTGGTGGACATGGCGTGTGTTTATTACACTTTTCATTGTTCACAATAATTTGTGTAAATCAGGTATGAAACGGGGGCGCCTGGGTGGCTCAGTCAGTTAAGCGTCCGACATCGGCTCAGGTCATGATCTCGTGGTTTGTGGGTTCGAGCCCCGTGTCGGGCTGTATGCTGACAGCTCAGAGCCTGGAGCCCGCTTCGGATTCTGGGTCTCCCTCTCTCTCTGCCCCTCCCCTGCTCGCACTCTGTCTCTCTCAAAAATAAACGCTAAAAAAAAAAAAGAAGAATGAAATGTGTTCCTCCATTTTAATTTGTGTGTTTTTTTAAAAGGTTATCCAGCTTCTGAAAGCTGGGAAAGCGAAGGAAGTGTCCTACAACGCGCTAGCCTCACACATAATTTCAGAAGACGGGGACAATCCTGAGGTTGGAGAAGCTCGGGAAGTCTTTGACTTACCTGTCGTTAAGGTCGGTAGTAAATCGAATTGATTTTATGTATCTCATTGTGTATCTTGAAAGTAATACGTTCAAGACTTCGTGGAACTCTTCTCAGAGTGTTTGCTTTGTAGAGGAAGCTGCCGGATGAACAAAGCTCTTTGGACAGCTCGTAACCCACCACGGCAGAAGGTCCTTTCCCTTAGGTCTAGATCGGTCAGCGGATGCACCTGCCGTGGGGTGGCCCCATCTCGACTCTGCCTGGAGCTCTCTACGCCAAGGACCTGAGCCTTGGAAGGGGGTGTGTCATCAGCGGGCACTGGGGACTCGGGAGAAGGTGCTCAGTCTCAGGGGCAGACAGAGTCCTGACAGGAGGTGACTCCTGGAGCAGGGTCACGATCCATCCCCGCCGTGTCAGGTGGCCTTAACTTCCAGCCAGCCATGTTGGAGGGAGTCCCGTCCCCCCTTTGCCGTGCTGTTCAACTGCTCCCCGGCAGTGGTCGCGATGACCATGTGTCACGCTGTCCACCTGGTGGCCGTCACTGGTACCGCTACATAGCTGACGGCTGGTTTATTTTAGAAAGTGGGGGCCTCAGCTGGGTGGGTGAGTTGTTCGGAGTTTGCTGATTACACACTGTGCTGCTCTTCTCTTGCTGCCCGTAGTTGAGTTGACTGATGTTAAATGTAATTGTATAGTTTTAGTCCTTCAGTTTCTTTCTAATCAGAGGTATTGTATATTTGTCCTAAAATAGTTTAATTCCACTATCATATTTTTTTTCTTCTTTATGCCATCAAACACTTGGCTTTAAAATCAGTATAAAAGTTGTTGTGGTTTAGTAACAAGAGAGGCTAGAATCAGGAAGGATTGCCATTAAGTGAGGCTGGGATACAGAGAAGCCGGCCTGGCCCTGGGAGGTGTGCACCTCATCAGTGTCCAGGCTCTGAAACTGCTTAGAAATCTGATTTTTGAAAATAAACCTGAGAACAGATCTGTGTCTCAGGAGAAGCCTTTCAGAGACCAGACTCTCAAGAGACGGCTGTATAAGTCCGAGCGACTGTTCATTTGCAGCAGTGAAATACAGTGGTCACGTCCCTGCACTAGACGGTGCATTTCAGCCTGGCCACGTCCTTCGTGAAGACGGAGTATCCGCACCTTGCCTGCTCTGTCCACCTGACCCCACCTCGCAAGACACACAGACTTGCGACAGGCCCTGGGCCGTGGGCTTGGGCACCTCCCTCCCTTGGATCCTGCTTTTGTCTCTGGTTTGTTTCCATTCTTCCTTAGCTGTGGGGACCGTGTCTCTGGCCCCTTTCCCTGCACACTTTCTTTTTCTCGGTAGCGTGGAGCCTGTTGCCTTGTGACAGTGACTTCACATGGATTGTGTAGGTTTCAGAGTGAACCTTAAAAGGGCCCCCGTGTTAACCAGTGCTGGGGGCTGAGGTCATTTAGAGCAGTGGGTCTTAAATCTGGTGACGGTCAAATCCCTTCTTGCGCTTTGTAATACCCCCTTTATTATCCCCTTACTTATACGTAGAGGAGCGTCCCACAATTTAAAACACGTATACACAAATGTGTACTTGTGTTGACATATAAGTACCCCGAAGTGAAATTTAAGGGGGAAAAAGGGAAAGTGAAGATCACGTATTCGCTACGGAAATACTGGGCACAACCCCCTGGAGACGGAGGTCACCTGCTGCCGTATGTGGAGGCGCTGTGAAGTGACTCCTGAAATGTAGACCTGTCCCCGTCTCTGCAGGCAGAGTCGCCAGCTGCGAGGTCACGTTTCTGAGTGGCGATCAGTCCCTGTACAGTTCAGAGATAAAAAAGCAGTCTTCTTTATTTTACACGTCGTATTTCTGGAAGAGTCAGGCTGTAATAAGGCCGCATAAAGTGCCTATTAGCCAGCTTCTGTGACTCTCACCATTTTGCCAGTCCGGCTTAGTACGCCCCTGGCCCACCCGTCCCCTTTTGGCTGTAGTTTGGCACGAGCCCCCAGGCACACCGTTAGCACTGCTGGCGCTCCTGTCTCCAGCGCCCCAGTTTACTTGCAGTTGGTGGCCGCGCCTGTCCTGTCCAGGGACTGTGGTGCCACATGACAGGGTGATGGAGCTTGTCAGAGCTGGCCCAGCAGTCTGTGTCCCCCCGCCACGATGACGCCAGTAGACCCTCAAGTTCTTAGTCTGAGCTCAGCCGACTGAGGCAGAGGCCTGGCTCCATAAGCCCAGATCCCTTGGCCTTTAACATACTGAATTTGACAAGTGCATTTTAAAAATGAGGCGTCCTTATACACGGCGACAGATTATCATTTACATATTTGAATTGCGTAGATCTTTAAAACTTGCATCTTTAGGCACCAAAACTTTTGGAATAACTTTTTTAATGGACCTATTTTTATTTTTCTCAGTGGCCTTAGGGCATCATTGGAAATGTTAACGCTGACCAGCAGTGGGCTTATTTTTATGCGGTGTTACTGGCCTTTGGGATAAAGAGCTCCTTATTACGATGCTTTTCCGGTTTCCGGTTCTCCGTTTCTGCTTTATTGTTACTAGTGTGTCCTAGACTCATGTGAATGAGGGTCTGGGGGTGATTCTGCTCTGCGTGGACTTGATGGTGGCTGGCCCTCAACCCTCAAGTGGGAATACCCATGCTTCCCCCGCCCCCCAGTTCCCCAAGGGACACCGCCCAGGGTGTATGCCACACGATAGTCAGAAGGGGTACCTGTCCCAGTGTCCTTGGGAAGAGTCACACCTTCACCGGCCCAGGTCCTGTCACAGCGCATCGCCCTGGGCTCTGGGAACCCTCCACGCCACGCCACGGGATGACTAGAAATGCTGCTTTCTCGAAAGCCGCCCTGGTGTGCAGCCGTGCAAGCAGGGCTCCGCGGGGCTTTGGGTGCTACCGTGGACCATGAAGCTTGGCTCACGTGACGACACTCACTATAGAAGAGTCCAAGCCAGTGTTGGCTACCGACGCTGGCCAGCTCCCTTAAACTGAACTGGAGTTTCCCCGGGATTATCAGAGAATGTGAAGGCCCACTGGGTGAAGCGCTGGGCAGAAGCATAAGTGCTCGCTTTCAGCCTGGTGCACTTTTTCCAATAAGTTACTTAAAATGCGTGGTAAAATTATCACATCATCATGAAATAATTATTCCAAGCGGAGCCAATCTTTATTTTATAAAACGGTCAGTATTCCTACACCCTGTTCACAGAAGACACACTTTTATAAACTTAGGCTGAAAAATTGTTGATGTTACCCGAAAAATGACAGGGGTATTTTGTTTTCTGAAGTTCTTTTTTTTTTTTTTTAAATGTTTATTAACTTAGAGAGAGAGACAGCACACGAGCAGGGGAGGGGCAGAGACAGAGGGAGACACAGAACTTGAAGAGGGCTCCAGGCTCTGACCTGTCGGCACAGAGCCTGACATGGGGCTCGAACCCACGAGCAGTGAGATCATGACCTGAGCCGAAGTCGGATGCTTACCTGACTGAGACTCCCAGGTGTCCCTCTAAAGTTCTTAGTACGTGCCAAAACTAGTTTGGAGATCATTAGGTTGGAATATAGGTTGCATGAGAGCAAAGACCGCATACCTGTTCTTTGTTATTATAGCCCCAGTGCCTTGTACCATCTCTGGGACAAAACAGATTCTCAATAAGTACTTGATGAATAAATTAATGCACGAATAATAAGTCTGTGTGTATGTTTCAGCTGGTTGAAATTTCTGAAAGTTTCAGCTGGCTAAATGGGGTATTATGTAGGTGAATGTAATGTTAAAAATGTGGAAATACAAATTTTCAAAAATACAAGTTACCCAAAAAGGTAGTAATTAAACTAAGGTTTTATAATTAATCTGAATTATGGAATTCATAAAAAATTACCAGACAGAAATACTTCTCACGATTTACCAGCATTTATATCTACTGGAGATTACTAAAAATACTCATGAACTTAGACTTGGTTGGGTTCGGGATTGAAGAGGGAAACCAGTGTGCCTGGGATGGGGAGGGGGTAGGCCTGGCTGTCAGACCCCAGCCCTTTGGGTCTGAGGACAGTTCCCAGCTAACCTCGACGCTTAAGCATTAATAGTGTGTGTGCCTAGAATTTACATTTATAGGCATAATAGTTTTTAAAATATGTGGTAGTGCTTTGTTCTGTAATTGAGCTTTTTCGCTTGGGCAATAATAACTAATCTTTGATATTTTTACCACTTGAATACTCATAATCTGGATGCTTTGTGATCAGTTATAACAAAGCCTTTAATTTCTAGGAGCAGGGCTGGTGAAATGTCATTTTGATTGTAAATTGAAAGCATTTTTTGATTTGAGTTCATATTTTCTTTTTCAGCCGTCTTGGGTGATATTGTCCGTTCAGTGTGGAGCTCTTCTGCCGTATCCTTTTTGGGGAAGGGGCGAGGGAAAGGACAACTCTGGGTTTAAGACTGAAATGGTAACTGAGTGGATTCGTTAGTTTGGGCCTGTGTGTGTGTGTGTGTGTGTGTGTGTGTGTGTGTGTCCGTCCGTCCGTGTCCTCTGTTCCTTGTGTTTTCCATTCTGATTCGGATTTTCTGTACCTGATCCTTGTCTCACCCCCACCTCCACCCCCACCCCCGGAGGGAGGGCCGCCCGCTGCAGGGACCGGGCTCCAGTTCCAGGACAGGGCTTTCTGATCTCAGGCAGGCCTCCTCTCTGGACCTCAGCTTGTCGTCTCTGGAACAGGTTTTGTGATGTCTAGTTAGGTGGACTATTTCCAAACTCGTAAGTCTGCGTGGGCCAAATCATGAGTTACTTGAAGAACGGATAGGGGAAGAGAACGTCAGAACGTTTCTAGTTTCGTTCATATGCGCTGGCATTCTTTTTGATTACGTCGGGTAGAAGGTTTCTTTAACACACGTGCTGGCATCTGCTATGGGCTGGGCACCAGAACTAAAGGGGTCGACAAGGTGTCCTTGCTGCCCTCAGGGAGCTCCCTCCCACGCATGGTCCCCTGCTTCTGTATTTCCTGAGTGTGGCTTTGGAGCACGGTCCTCCCTGCCTTGGGTGAGATGTCGGGCTGCCCTCTCGTGTTCTGAGCCTCGTGGCTTCTGTTTCACCCTGGCCGTGTGCAGCTTCCCTGGAGGGTCACTCCCCGCGTAACCTAATCGTGGAGGTGCTCCTTTTCAGGGTACCTGGTACCCTGATGCTAAAATTGCAGATGATGATGTCTTTCGTCCAGTTTTGTTTTGCAGCTCGGCCAGGTGGGTCCTGGGAATGCATTTTTACTTTATTGAACTGATGCAGACGGAGGAAATCTTTGTGTATTAAATATAGGTGGCCTCAAATCAACACAACCTCCCTCTATAAGCAGTTCTTGGAGGATGTGCAGAACTCTAGCAACTCCAACTCAAAACTTCTAAGGCTTTTCATCCATAATCTGAAGAGTTAAAGGAAATCAGTTCGTGTTTTGTTTTAGTCTTCATCCCATTTTGCTGTTTTGGGAGTCTTTGTTTTCTAAGTACAGGTGAAAAAAAAAAAGACTGGGAGACAGAGGGATGATTTTGAAGATGAGAGGTTAATTCTTCCTGTTGTGGATCACTTATTCTCTGCACGAGATTCCTTAAGAAGCCGTCCTCCCCTTGAGTTCTTATCTGCCTGTCCAAGCGCAGCTCGAAGGGACATAAAAGGATCCCCAAGACTCTTGGACGGCACAATCTAGATTTGCCTTTGTTCATGTTTCCCCAAGGCTTTGGAAGGAGAAAATGCTTGAGCTACAGGTAGGAGCATGGAAACCGATCTTGGATAATGGGGCTGAAGGCATGACGTTGGGGTCTGCAGAGGTTAGTCAGACAGGCAGGCTCCCGTCAATTATGAGATCTCTCAGCAGGGCTGGTGGGAGACTTCCACATTACAATAGGATTTTCAGTTTGATCTGTTTTTCTTCACTCACTTGCCTCAGTAGCTATACTTTATTCCTGTTGGGAAAACAGGGCAATACTTTAATAACCCATGTTGAATTGTGGACACTCCAGATTCTTCAAAAAAAGTTCTCGTGTTGGCTTTGAATAGGCTGTATGTTACTGGCGCCCTGAGGTCGTGTCTCCTTGGGTAGAGCCATATGCCCAATGTCTGGCACACAGCTCTTTTGCATGAATTTTAAAAATCTGAGTGTTAGAGCCGGGAGAGTTGGGAATTATGTATATTCTAACTCTTGTTTTAGTAAAGGAAAGCCGAAGCTTAGAGTTGGTCTTGCCCAGCTTCGTAAAGTTAGCAGCGGTAGCAAGACTAGAACCCAAGTTCTTTTATGGAAGATTCTCTCTGTCATAGCCCAGAAGTTCCGTTAACGTTTCCTTCTAAAATTAACTCTAGACTTTGGAATGTGCTGTTAAAGTAATTGCTGTGCCGTGTGTGTATATAGGTGTGTGTGTGTGTGTGTGTGTGTTTACGTGTGTGTGGAGTGAGCCAGCCCTCGGAGGTCAGATGTTTTCCCCTGCGAGTGTACTGGGCCCGTTTTCTTGATGTTGGTGGAGGCGCTGAGTTAGAAAGCACTTCACGGAACCTCCCGTTGTCTCTGTGCTGTCTGCTGCTCCTTCTCGAGGCTCCTCTACTGTTTGGCCAATCTGAGTCTCTTTGCTCCGTGGACTGAGTGGGAGGGCGGGGGTGGGGTGGGTCACGTCCCAGTGGGCAAATAGCACGTCTTCGTGAAATGCAGGTTGCACTAATCTCATTTCAGTGGAATCTTAATAACTATAAAACAGAGTGAATGGTTTTTCTCCAGAGTCGTGTCAGATCTTTTTTGGAATCACTGCCTGCCTCTCCCAGGTAAGCATGGTTACAGTCCGTCTTGTGTTGTTTACACATAGCAGTTCTGAGTTTTTACACTTTCAGATTTATGACCTGTTTGTAAACCAGTTTTAAAGAAGCTCTCTACTAAGCTGCATGTTCAGTGTGACCTTATGATACATTTAATTTATAATTATTTAAACGTTCCTGCTTAGACTTAAGATTTAAAGTTTTAATGGGCGAAATGGTCTTTCTAACGTAAACAATTACAAAGGTGTAAGATTTGAATGTGAAAAAATAGTGAAAATGAAATTATTTAAGATGGCAAAAATTCACTCCTAAAGGCAAAGAAAAATAAAACCTCAGTAGATAAGGCAAAAACATGAGTTTACAACTTTTTGTAAAGAGGAATCACAAATAGCGGGACGTAACATTTGACACACTCTGCCATCAGGACACGAACATTTATTAGCACGGGCGTAAGAACTTCAGTTCTCGCGCTTGACCCTGCGCGCCTGGCCGCGTGCGCAGGCCTGACTCCGCGTGTGTGCCGTGCCGGTGCACCTGCGGACGCGCTCCCCTCCTCCCCCCGCTGCTGGCGGGGATGCAGTTCAGCGCGGCTGCTTTCTACGCAAGTTGGGTAGTGACGGGAGCCCTAAAATAACTCATTTTGTTTTCCCCTACGGTTCTCTTAGGTTTAGAAACGTATCCCAAGTTGGCAGAAATAAGGGCAGGTTGATAGACAAAGGCGCTGAGCAGAGCATCGTGTAGAATATCTAGGGTAAAATGGGAAAAAAAATCAGGTCACCCTCTTGCTGGAAATGGTTCAGAAACCTGTTGTGTGCAGTTGCACGGCAGTGTAAGTACATAGCCGGTGTCGGTGGTGCTTTATGAAAACACGGAAAGAGGAGGTCAGTGCTTTAAGCGGGGGGGGGGAGGCCATGACGTAGGTATGTGCATGTTCCATTAGCCAAGGAAAATATACGAGAAATGTCTGAAGGGAGGGACCCAACGTTAGCCATGGTAAATTCTAGGTAGTGAGGAAAGTGGATATTCGGTATTTTTAAATTGTGTTCTGTGCCCTCCACCCCCAGCTAAAAACCCTCAAACTATAAAAAAAACCATTGTAACAAGTCCAGCTGGTGTTGTTTGAACTCATTTTGAAATTGCGTAGAATAATCTGTTCAGCACGAGCACAGGAAGAGGTGTGGTTGACCGTGACCTCGCCACATGCCCTCGCGGACGCATCGCAATGACTTGGGTGAGGAGCAGGGTGGCGCCCATCGCTGTGGAAGCCTCAAGGAGGGGCCTTCGAAGCCCTGGGTGACCCGGGAGGGCGTCGCTCTCAGCCATGCGCCTCTGTGGTCGGGAGTCACCCAGCCAGGCTGGCCAGGCTCCCCCTTCGTTCAGGCGGTCTCCCCGCCACAGTTTGACCCCTTCCCTGTCCGCACAGTAGGCAAGCTCAGTTAGGCTCATTTTTTTGTGTTTGCATCTAGTTAATTCGTGAAGTCCTTTAAAGTTATGAAATTTCTCTCTTTTTGTCTTTGCTACCTTCATTTAATAGGGATCCTTATTAACTATGGGTTTAGCATCAGAGAAGACTTTTAGTCTTAGAAAACACCAGTGGTTACATTTCACAAAGGTTGAAAAGTGGTTACATTTCACAAAGGTAACAGATTATCAGACCTACAACACTAAGGTTAAGGCACACACAACACCTGCTGTATGATGGGCTAGATCAGGTGGCCTGGTGTCGGTGCGTGAGATCACAAGAGCAGTCACCCGTGTGGACGACCTAGTCAGGAAGCCTGGGGGAGGGGAGATGTCAGACCTGAGGGGCCCCAAAGAATGGGCAGAATTAGAGCAAAAGTGGGATAGGGGAGTGCGTTCCTGGCAGAGCAACATGGAAGGACGGACGAGGGCGCCAGGGCTGGCTGCTGACGGAAGGTGTGCGCTCGGAGTGCAGAGGACAGAGAGCGTTTGGGAGGGTGGGGGCGGAGAGCACGGGAACAGACCCAGATGTTGGAGTTTGAGCTTCCTGGAGTGGCCAGTAGGATGCTCCTTCCTTTTTTCTGAAGTATTTAATTTAGGATTACAAATATTTACATGAGGACATTTGAAAAACGCAGACAAGCAGACGAAAATCCTTGCAGTTTGGCAGGTGCAGCTGGTCTGGGGGCTGTAGCGGGACATGGGGCCGGGGTGGGGATGGGAATTTGGGCCAGAGGGAGGGCGTGATCTTGGACTTGAGGCAGAGGTTTGGATTCGGGATGGCGCTGTGGATACAAGGCCCGGACGGGAGTCGGCAGGGCCTGGTGATGTGGCCACACTTGGGACGAAGGAGGAGAAGGCAGCGCCCCGGGACGCCCGTGTGGCAGGTCCTGGAGCTGCCTCCGCAGTGAATTGTGGGTCCGAGCAGGCAGGGAGCCTGGGGGAAGTGCCAGCATCACTGCCGGAGAGGGGACACGGGAGCCTGGTTCCTCAGGGAAGCCGGGGAAGCTGGTTTGAAGCACGTTGAGTTTGGGGTGTCGATTAGCTATCCAGATGTGGGGATGTTCGGGTGTGTGACGGGCAGAGAATTTGCTTCTTCCAGAGGAACGTAGAAGGTAAGTAGCCAGGAGCAGAGCCTTGGGTAGCATGCAGTAAAGGGGCTCTGCAGAGAAGAAATCTGAGCGTAGAGATGCTATTGGAGGAGAGGGAATTGTTTTTAGAAACCAGGCATGAAATCAGACTCAGTTTTTATTGCTGGGAAGCAGCAGCACCCCAAGTAAAGGAGGGGACCGCTGATTTGTAGCAGATAGTGCATGGCTCCGGGTGTCCCCTCAGTCCTGCCTGTGACTCAGGAGAGGAGGAGAGTAAGAATGCTGGACAGGGACACAGGACTGCTGATGGGTCTGGTGGCCATCGTACAGGCCCAGTGGTCCATGCGGACCTCAGGGTCTGGGCTGAGAAGACAGCAGAGGGGCAGGGAGGGGGAGAATGGAGAGCCCATGGAAGAAGCCACAACTAGGTGGTAGGGAGCACGGGCAGAGGTGAACAAGGGTCCCTTGGTCATGTGGTCTGGGAAGCGGTCCAGCCCGTAGAGTTTTATCTAGGTGTGAAATACGTTGCCGGGGCGTGGCTGGGTCTGTGGTGGGCAGGCAACTGAATTTAGAAGGACCTGTGACAGTCTTTTTCTATCCTTTTAGCAAACTCATTAGGTAGTAAAACTCAGAATCTGGAGTTAGTTTGATCTTTATGGATCACTTGCTACGCCGTCCATCACTCAGGATGATGGATTGGAATCCCCAGTGTGTGATGGGATCACATGGTAAAAAGCTCTGCTTTTGAGTGCAGAAAGCTCGATCAGATAAGGGTGAGAGCAGCTCACCTGCTGACACCCCAGTTGAGAAGAGTGCACTGCGGACACTGATGTTTTCTGGTTGCTAAAAAATGTTAATTCAGCTTAAGATGTGTTAACAGACCACGTGCACAGCGTGTAGCTAAGGGACTTTGGTTTAACAAATACCAGATGAGTCCTTTTGTGACGGGAGCAATGCCGATGGGGGGTGTAAAATAAACTAAGATAGGATGTCTCCCCTCAGCGAACGCACCATCCACAAGGGAGGATGCGCTTGTGAACCAGCCGCGTGTCGTAGCACACACACAAGCGTGTAAAAGTGGGTGCGAGGTGTGGAAACTGTACCCGGAGGGAGCCGTCTCGACGGTGGATCCGCACCACGCAGAGACTCTTCGGGCGTCCACACCGTTTGCTGAACTTTGGCGCACCTGCCCGCACACGCGCCCACCAGGCAGGACCCCGCCTTTGCGAAAGGACCGTTTGCTCGGTGGCTCTCAGTGACCTTCTGTCTTTTCCCCGTCAGGGTGTTGATACAGGCTGGAGCTCTTTGTTGGAGTCTTCCAGAACTCTCCCAGGGAGAGGTAGGGAAGGCAGCTTGTGCCCGCAGACGTTGAGAAGCACACACACCATCTGCCTTCTCCCGAGCCGGTATTGATGCAGGCTGGGCCTCCGTTGTGATGTGCTGGGTAGGTTTCAGGGGACAGGCCAAGAGTGCGACGGAGAGCCTGGCCAGGGTTGTGGTTTCAGCCTTGAAGGCTGAAGATAAAAGCCCTTTCGTTCTGTATCTCAATCAACAGGTATTTCTTGACTGCCTGCCCATGTGCCTTGCGCTGTACTAGGTCCTGTGAGAGAGGGCAGAGAGGTCGAGGGGGTGAAACCTAGCGAGACCTCCATCTTTAACCGTGTCTTCAGATTGTAGTTTTTTTCAGGAGGGGACAAGGACAGATTTGGGGGCTAGAACCGAGGAGTGTCCTACTTGTACCGGGAAGGGAAGGCGCTCCCAACTGGGGTGAAGGAGGCATTTATTCCGGGGGGGGCCGTGGACGAGGTGACCGCCCTCTGCTCCACGTCCTTAGAGGACAGGATAGTGGGGAGGGTGAGCATGTGGTTTCGGAGCGTGGCCAGCACGAGGGTGTGTGTGCAGCCTGCCGTGGGGTCCAGGGCCAGTGGTAGCTGAGTGGACGTTGAGGCTGGGCAGGACACAGAGCCAGAGCCTCGCGTGTCGGAGGAGTGTCCCTGAGACGCGGCAGTGCTATGGGACGCGTGTGTGGGGGCCGCACCTGACTCACCACTCAAGCGTTTGGGTTTTTGGTCTTAAGGTATTGAGATCATGTCCGAGCTTTGTTGGCCGAGATGACAAGATCTGTAGTTTATATAGGTTGCTTTAAAAAAAAAACAAAAAACAAAAAACCTTTTTCCCCAGTTACAAAATTAATGCTTTTGAAAATCTGGAAAATACAGAAAAGTAGAAACATGACAACAAAAATGTCCCCATAATTCCATCCCCGCTAGGGCACTATTGTTAACATTTTGGTGTGGAAAGAGCATTCTTAGTTGGTGTGCAAAGAGATTCATTACACACGTGAGCTGGTGTGGCTGTTTGAAGTCGCTTGGCCCAGACGTGCACTGATGCAGGATCTGGTTCGTGGAAGGTCTCCAGGTGGCCCGGAGCTCGGTTTTGGAGACCCTGTGTCAGCTCCAGGTCTCCCTCCCCCCCACCTGATGTTCGTTCCCCAGCAATAGGCTTGTCCCTGTTGAGGCTTGTCCCTGTGGCGCCGGCCCGGGGCCTGGCTCGCCGCGGTCGGCACAGCCCAGGCTGCACGTGCTTCCCTGTAGGCACAGCTTCCCAAGGAAGGCACAGAGAGGGGCTGCTCTTTGAACTTCAGTTCTAACAGGGGATGTAGTGCTCTCTTGGAGCGGTCTGGATTATCACGTGAGTCAGTCTCACCTCTCCAAATGCTGCAGGAGAGCCACGTTTTTGCGAGAGCCTCTAGGAAAAAAATAACGGTTTTCTGGTCCAGTCTTCGGAAATGTGACGGTGGCTGACCACGTTAAAGAGATACAAAGCAGTGACTTTCCAAGGTGATTTTTTTTTTTTTTTTAATTTTTTTTTTTCAACGTTTATTTATTTTTGGGACAGAGAGAGACAGAGCATGAACGGGGGAGGGGCAGAGAGAGAGGGAGACACAGAATCGGAAACAGGCTCCAGGCTCTGAGCCATCAGCCCAGAGCCCGACGCGGGGCTCGAACTCCCGGACCGCGAGATCGTGACCTGGCTGAAGTCGGACGCTTAACCGACTGCGCCACCCAGGCGCCCCTCCAAGGTGATTTTAGGAGATTAGTGTGTTCTTGTTAGTATCCACAGAGTAGTGAGTGTGCAGTGCAGAATAAGTTCTGGAAACATTTGTAAAACGGACGGAAGTAGATGTAAGACAGTGGAGCTCTGGCAAGCTGAATAATGGCGGTTTTTAAAAACATGCTGCTTGTAACACAGAACTAACCTGAGGACTAACGGAATTCTTAACCATAACCCTGAATTTGTAATAAATTATTAAGGAAAAAAATTGACCCGGTTAAATGATTACGTCAGAATTAATTCACACACCTTTATGTCTCTTACTTCTTTTGTCTTTCAGACTCTAAAAGTTTCTTTTTTAGAAATCGTTTTGGGGAGTAGTTGCCCTTAGGGAGGTTACAGAACAGCAGGAAGATGTAGGCAGGCCTGGGGTTAGACGCACCTGTGTTTCGAAAGCCAGCTTTTCCGGTGATGAGCTGTAATTTTGGCAGGTTTGTTTCCGATCTGTGCGGGGGCTTCACGGTTGCCACTTGGCATGGCGGTCTTAGGGGTTAGGAACGCGTGCGAAGCACTGGGCACAGTTCCCGGCACATGGGAGGCAGGCAGTAAATGGGGAGCCGTTTCTGTTGTTCCAGTGAAAGCCTCTTCTCCAACGCGAGCCACTCTGCCTGGAGTTGACTTCATCAGTTACGCAAGCATAAGAATGAGCCCTTTCAGGCTTGCCTCATTTCCTTTGATGTGTTAGATAATACTTAGGATTTTCCCTGAGCTCCAGGTAACTCGTTGTCTCTTGCATTCCTCCATTTCTTAATTAGTATTTAGCCCTCAATGGTGAAGGGGCTCCTTAGTGACTTGGGTGCTGCTGTTGCCCGCAGACATTTTCGAGCCTCTGGTTGTCAGACGCGGTGACGCACTCCCTCCTTTGCTTGCTTCCCCGTCACTTGAGTTGCAAGAATCCCCCATTCGTTTTTTTGGAGCGTGGATATGTGTTTTCCATTCATTTGGCGACAGGGTGAAAAAAATCACGTCTACGAAGCAGTCACGATAGGAATTGAAAGTTTGTCATGCCAAGCAGATCCCTGAGCGCTCACGTGTTCCCCCATGAGTCCCCCTACTCGAGTTCCTTTGACGAGGGAGGCCAGTAGGTGCAGCAGAACTGCTAAGATGCCACCTTGTACTTTGACGATGAGCACGCTTGCACGGACTGAAATGTGTGACGGAAGCCCGGTGTCCCTTCCTTTCCCAGGTGTCGTCTGAAGACAGGAGCGCCCTGTGGGCTTTGCTCACTTTCTATGGGGGGAACTGCCAGCTGCACCTCAACAAGAAATGCACGCATCTGGTGGTCCCCGAACCAAAGGGGGTAAGCATTTCACGTACATTTTCCTCTTCGCGCATCCCTTCAGTACTTCCGGTGCCGAGTGACGGTTGTGAGCTTCTCTCGGATTAATTGCTAGATTCCATTTACAAAAGCCGATTCAGTTCATTTACCTGACTTAGACCTGGCTTCATTCCGCAGACGAAGCGAGATGATTATCGTTTCTACTCTGAGCCAGATGTGACCTCTAAATGCGAAGAAATTTGGGTTTATTTTGTGGAGAAAATGGGAAAGTTTTTGCAGTCTCTTTTTGAGTTTCCTTTCAAATTCAGTAAAAGTTTAGTTCATTTTTATTTGTGAAAGTATGTATTTTTAGTCTTCTTCACAATTTTTAAAAAGGCGTTGTGCTGAGTAAAACTTTGTAAACGTGTGTTTGGCGAAGTTTCCAATGCCATTTCCTTTTTAATGATCTAGAATAGATACAAGTACGTTTATCTCGATAATCGTGGGGTTCTTGTCTCTAAGCACTGGTGGGGCCACAGAGTTTTGGTTTCCCAAGTGGGGCCCCCCGGTCAGCAGCACCCGCCTCCCCTGTGCATCTGTGAGAAGCGCAGACTGCGGCCCGCCCCACGCCTCGTGAACCAGGACCCGGTGAGGGCAGGTGCAGAGCCCGGTAACCTGGGTGAGGCCCTCCCGGTGGTGCTGATGCGCACGAGAGTTTGAGGACCATCGCTTTCTGGAAACCAGACTTTGCTCCTCCCAGGAACGATGGTTTATGACTCTGAGAGTCAAGAGGAGTGTGTTTATGGCAAGTTGACTTTCCACGTGCCAGTATCCTGTTTTTTTCTTAACTGCTTCTGAATCCGTGCTGCCATCCTGTTCTTCCCAAGGGTACCCTGGCTGGGAGTGGGGGGTGGGGGGGGGCAGGGGTGGCGTGTGAGGTTCCTCTTTCACAGAGGCTTTGACATTGAGCAGAGGCGATCTGGAAACGTGTGCCGTGGCCACGCTGGTTTCCTGACAAGAGCCATGTTGAGCCAGTGGGTGTGGTTGTAACTTAGCCACGCGGTCCGAGAAGAAGCGTTTCTGTGAAAATGTAAGATGTGACTCTTAAGTCTCTCGAAGTAAATCACGTTTTGTATAACACTCTAAGAAATATAGCATGTTTTGGTGAAACGGTATAACGGTTCTTTTCATATTAATATCTTATAATTTATGGCTAAGAGCAAATCATTTGCTTGTAGGTGGCTAGCTCGAAGGGAAACAAAGTATAGCTTTTGTAAAGATGAGCAAATACTTCTGAAGAGTCATTGTCATTGAAGAGGCAACGCGTGAATGTCAGACTCAAAAATAAACGGCATCTCTTCAAATCCTTTTTTTTTTTTTTT